TATTTGCTAACAGTTAGGACCTTTCTATGCAGCTAAGATTCACTCTTTCTAGAACCAGTCAATACCTGCCTTAAAATCTTTAGAGTAATCTGGGGTCCTAAATAAGCAACTACTCTGCAGACACCTGTATTGTCATGGAAACCGAGAGTATTTACAGGTCTCCTATAGTAAATTTCCTACATTCTGACTCATATCTTCTAGTGGCTTATTGGATTCATTGTGACATCTATTCTGAAGTTGTCTCCAATGCCATCACCTCCTCTCTTGGAAATATCTCCCTCTTCATATGCTTCATCCTTTGTATCTTCTCTGTTTATACACAGATCAGGTCCCTAATGAGAAATGAACATGATTATATAACTGGCCTACCTGACCCTGTGAGGTTGGGAGACTATGCAGGGCAGAGTTTTTTTTTTTTTTTTTTTATCCACATCAGTATAGTCTATAGACATGTGATTAACATTAATGTATCCAGCATACTAATAAAGAGCTTTGGCTTTGGAGACAGACTTCCTGGATGTAAATCCCATCTTTGTCTCTTACTAGCTCTACGATGTTGAGAAAATCACTTAAGTACCCTGAACCGGTTTCCTCATCTATAAAATAGGGAAAATCTACTTTATAAGACTGTTGTGAGAATAAACTGAGAAAATCCTCATAAAGCATTTAGAACAATTTCTAGAACATAATAATCACAATAAATATTAGCTATTATTATTATAAAGTAAATATACGGATGAAATAAGGACAGAAATTTAGTAAGCATACACTATATGTTGCTCAATTTCCCAGATTTTTTGTAGTTCAAATACTGACAGTGGTTTGGATTGAATTTGCAAACACTATTTAAAATGGCATCATTCTGATAGGAGTGTATTCAGCTCTTACACCTTCTGAAAAATGTGTGCTGACTAGGGCACTGCTTCTTCCAAACCACGCAAGTCTTTTATTCTTCATTCACAGCGGGGACTACAGGAAGAGATTTTTCACAAATATATTTCACTTTAGATTTTTACTTTCTCAATACACTTTTCTTGTTGATGTAGTTGTTCTTCACACAGAACTTATCATATTCCTATCCTCCTCACACAAGCAAATATTGCTTACAGAAGAAAATAATGAACTCTTTAACATGACCTGCAAGGCCCCCACAGTCTAGTCTTAGCCTGCTTCCAACTTCTGCTTGATTACTTTCCAACACAAATTTAATACTCTTGCCAGACTTGATTATTCACCTAATTTATCATGTATTTACATATGCTCACTCATTCATTTCTTTTCATTCATATACTTTATATTTGCTTACTATATGCCAGAAACTTTGCTAGATGTTAGAGATTAAAGATATTTAAAATTCGCAGGCATGTTTGCATTTGCAGAGAATGAGCCCAACATACAAATGAAGAGCAAACAGAGATGAGATATAAATTTTACTAGTCCCAGGGATGCTGAATTTCTATTCCAGTCCTTGAGGCCATGGTTCCTTCATTCCCACAAGCAACTGTCAACATCTCAGCCACATGAGCCAATGAATCCCTACTTGGCATCAGCGAGTTTGAGTTCAGTATCAGCCATTTTCAAATGAAAGAGTCCTTACTGATATATTGCCCACATTAGGAACTCTGATGACATGGTAAAGCAATGGGAACTAGAGAAATTTTAAGACGTAAATGTATTTAAATGAATCAAAATGTTTTAATGGATCAAAAGTGCATTCAGAAAGCAGCTCTAGTGGACTGTACAGAGATGGATTCAAGGGAGACCAATCTGGCACCTCTTATGCTGTTCAAGAATGTAGTCCTTAATCCTTTAGAATTAAGAGAATTTCTGACTATTGAAAAAGTCTACCAAGGCCCAGTTTATTTGCTGCCTCTCTTTTAGTGTCTTTCTCATCTCACTCAGCTTGAATGAATAGTCCTTTGTTCTGCATTTCTGTAGCACTTCACTTGCACCTCTGACACCAGCAGTGCATCAGAATCACCAGGAGGGCTTGTTAAAACCAGATTGCTGGGCCCCACCCTGAGAGTTTCTAATACAGCAGCACTGGGGTGGGACCCAAGAATTCCAAGTTCCAGGTGATGCAAATGATACTGCTCCAGGGGCCACACTTTGAGAATCTCTGCTCTAACACATTTCATTGTAGCTGTATTCTACACTGTTTGCTCATCAGTGTCTGCTGCTAGATTAAAAGTTCCTGAAAGATTTTCTTGTTTATCTTTGTAAAACTCTCAGAAGCTAACATAATGCTTTACATAAAATTGGTATTTGATATGCACTACTGTGTTATTAACTGTGGAGATAAGCATCTTAACATAATAAATTCCCTGATTCCCTCAAAAAATGAACTGTGTAATTAGAAAAAAGATCGAAGGGCATAATATATCTGACTTCTTTCAGGCTAATTTTGATTATGTGTTCTGTTTTCTTTTAATGCTGGGCATAAAGGACAATGATTATTTTCAAATATAAGAAAGCTTGATATGCATGATCCTAGAGAAGTTAAGAATAGCAATTTTCTTCTTCCTTCATGTGTTTCTATTTCCTCTTGATTTAGTTGGCATCAGATAGCCCCAGGGGAGAAAACATTTCAAACGTTTTTCATCCCAATATTTAGAAATGCTGATCACACTAACTTCTTTGTAGTTGTTCATATAGCAAGATATTCTGCCCCTTTAGTTGCCATATAGCTATTAAAAAACACCTAGGAATAAATTTAAACAAGGGGGTGAAAGACCTATTAGTATACTGAAAACTATAAGACACTGAAAAAGACATAAATAAATAGAGAGATATTCCACACTTGTGGATTGGAGCAATTAATGTTAATGTTAAAATGTCTATGCTACCCAAAGCAATCTATAGATTTAATGCAATCCCTATCAAAATATCAATGGCACTTCTCACAGAATTATAAGAAGAAATTCTACAATTTGTATGTAACCACAAAAGATCCCAAACAATCAAAGCAATCTTGAGAAAGAACAAAGCTGGAGGCATGACACTTCCTGATTTTAAAATACATAATAAAGCTATATTAATCAAAACAGTATGGTGTTATGAAAAAAAAAAAACAGTATGGGTATTGGCATAAAAACAGACACATAGATCAATGGAATTGAATAGAAAGCCCAGAAATAAACCCACACATATGGTCAATTAATTTACAACAGGGAAAGGAAAGTCTCTAATACACGCTACTGGGAAAACTGAACAGCCACAAGCAAAAGAATGAAAATGAACCACTATTTTACACCATAGACAAAAACGAACTCAAAATGAATTAAAGACTTGAAACCATAAAACTTCTACAAGAAAATACAGGCAGTAAGCTCTCTGACATTGGTACTAGCAATAATTTTTTTGGATTTGACACCAAAAGAAAAGGCAACAAAAGAAAAAATAAAGAAGTAGAACTACGTCAAACTAAAAAGCTTTGCATAGTAAAGAAAACTGTCAACAAAATGAAATGGAAACGCACTAAATAGGAGAAAACATTTACAAACCATATTTCTGATAAAGGGTCAATATACAAAATATATAAAGAACTCATACTACTCAACATCAAAAAACAAACAATCCAATTAAAAATGGGCAGAAGATCCGAATAGACATTTTTCTAATGAAGACATACAATGGCCAATGGGTATGTGAAAAAATGCTCAACATCACTAATCATCAGGGATATACAAATCAAAACTACATGATATCACCTCATACCTATTAGAATGGCTATTATCAAAAAAAAACCCCAAAAACAAAAAAACAAGAGATAAGTGTTGTAAGGATGTGGAGAAAAGGGAGCTCCTAAGCACAAATTAGTGTAGCTGCTACAGAAAACAGTATGGAGGTTCCTCAGAAAATTAAAAAAAAAACTGCCATATGATCCAGCAATTCTACTCTAGGTATTTATCTGAAGAAAACAAAAACATTTACTCAAAAAGATATATGAACCTCATGTTTACTGCAGCATTATTCACAGAAGCCAAGATATGGAAACAACCTAAGTGTTTTTTGATGGATAGTTTTAAAAAATGTGCTACACAAACATACACACACAAACACACACACACACACACACAGGAATATTATTCAGCTATAAAAGAGAAGATCCTGCCTTTTAGGGATGGACTCTGAGGGTATTACGCTAAGTGAAATAAGAAGAGAAAGACAAATATCGTATAATCTGACTTGTATGTGGAATTTAAAAAAAAACTAAAAGAAAGCTGAAATCATAGATATAGAGAACAGAATGGTTGCCAGAGGCAGGGAGGGTAAGGGAAGATTGGCAAAAGAGTTGAAGGGAGTCAAAAGGTACAAAATTCCAGTTATAAAAGATATAAATCCTGGGGATATAATGTACAGCATGGCAACTATAGTTAATAACACTGTATTGCATATTTGAAAGTTGCTAAGAGAGTAAATCTTAAAGGTTCTCATCACAAAAAAAAAATATCCTGTAACTATATATGATAATGGATGTTGACTATACTTACTGTGATCATTTTATAATATATACAGTAATGAATCATGTTATAAACCTGAAGCTAATATAATATTGTAGGTCAATTATACCTCAAAAAAAAAAAACCCAAAAATAATAAAAACACCAGCTTCAAAATTATTTTTAAACCATGTCATTTAATTAGATTTTTGTAAATTAAAAATAGCATGAAGCCTGCTTTAAACCCTGTGAGACAGGGAAGACCAGTCTGCATGGACTCGTAGGTATTCAGACCCCCAGTTTCTGTAGTAGAATTAACATCCTCTCTCTTATTAGCTCCCGTCGGTAGCTTCTGGAATTGAACATGTCTGGAAACAATACTCTGTTGATACTTGAACCTTTCTCACTGTCTCTACATTGTGGTTCTAGTAGTTGGAGTGATCTTTATAATTCTTACAGCATCTCTAGGTAATGGAATAGGGTTTTAGACAGACCTGGACGCAGGATTTAAGGTGCACAGAGAAAAAAGTGCGTGCAGAGGATTTCAAAGTAGACTTACCTTAGGCATCCTGTGACGTTGTAGAATATATCAAAATCAAGCAAACCATTTGCTTTGGGGTAGTCTCCTTCTGGCCACCCCGAAAAGGGGATGATGATAGTCTCAGTCAGGATAAGTAAGGCTTCTGTTATCACGAGATTCTTGAGTTTGTCACTAGAGGACAAATTCCACAGCAAACCTAGAATGAAAACAGTACAGGGTTGGGTGAAAATAACTGCTGAAAAGGTCAGTTAAGGCCACTACCCCTAAGGCTATAGCTAGTTATTAAAAATAAGGGGTGGGGGAGATGGCTCCTTCCGTAACTGAAAGAACGTATTTAGAACTCATTAAAGGGCAATGGAAGCTGATTCATGAGAACAAATAAAAACATATATGGGGGGAGGTATAAAACTATAAATCTATGCAGGTCTAAATTAATCTCGAATGTGAATAAAAGCCAGAAATCTTTAAACATTTATTGCTGTTTTTCTTAAAAGACCCTTCCTTAAAGTGGAGGTCACTGAGATGATAAATTCAGGGCTTTCCAACATGGAGACTTGAAATAATTCTATGTATTTAAGACTTCGACATTTTTAAGGGGTCATAGTTTTTCTCCCCTAGATGAATAGAGAGAACACCTCCTTCTGTCTCCCTGGTCTCCACTGCCTCCAATTCCACGTTACATTTGCCTCCCAATAATAGCAGAAAGGGCCTGCAGATAGCCTTTGACTATGCTTATGCCTGTCCACAGCAGGCTGATCAACATCATCAGTTAATATTTATTAACTCGTACTCAATGATAGCTTTTTATGTCCTCCTGGAATTTATGCTGGCTACCTCACGTATTTCTTATATTATAGTTTGGAAGGAAAGGGGAGACAAGAGTATTTTATCAATCTGCCAACTTTCATGGCCTAAGACTGGTACCATAGTTACTCATTTAACTTTTCCTTTGCTTTTGAATTCCTTTCTACACCCCACCCCCATTAAAGAGAAAGGCCACAAAGCCAACTCAGGAAAAAATTATGATAACAGGATATTGTATTTACTAGTGCATTTGTGAGGCAGACACTAAACTGGGTAGTGAGAAAGAATACAAAATGGCATATACACTTAGGGTTTGTTTTTCTTACAAATTTGGAGCTCATTCTGATTCAGTAGAAGGACTACACACCTATTACTTGCTATTCCAGTGACTTTCTGCAGGTATAAAGTTGCTGCCAACTTTCATACCTCAGTAAGTTAATCTAACTCACTAGCATCCAGGAAAGAACAAAGAGAGAGGGGACAGAAAGAAAAGGGATCTTCATTTTCTTCCCTATTTCCTCCCCCACCACCCAGTCAATAATTCCTACTTGTTAAATTTACTGCTTTGTCTGTATGAAGAGGAAGTGCAGGTACACAGGAAGTCTACTTTATGAAAAAAGCAAACATGGCAATCTTGGCTGAATTACATGGTGATATCATCTCCCCTAATTTTAATGACTGAAATAATGGTCTGTTCAGTTAAAGTTTGGTAATTATTCAACCATACTTATATTTGGCCCATCAGTTAGAACAATCTAGGCCTAATGCAGTCTTTTGTGTTTAAATAGTTTACTTTGGCTGTGTATAAGTAACTAATTTCTAAAACAACCAAATTGCCACTGCAGCCTATACTCAGTTTCCATTAGATTCAGCGACACTGGGTCCTGTGTCTTGTAAAGACTAGAATTTTGGCACATGAGGAGGTCTTTTCTTGATCAAACTAGCATTTGAGGTTAGTCATCAGCAGTGTCCCTCAGTCACAGGTTTTGCAACACAATGACTTCATTCCTCCCACTTCATCTTAAAAGGCCCTGGAACGGGGAGAGACAGAATAAAACTCTGAAGGTGGTTGAAGACAATTAAAGGCAGGTTGGGTTTTGGTTACTAAGTTACAAAAGCAAGTTAAAAAGAAAAGAGAGAAAAGGGGGGAAAAAAGCTTCCTGTTCTAAATAAGCAAACAAATTAAGAGTCTCTGCCTACCGGGGGGAGGGAGGGGGCTTAAAAGTGTGAAGCACAAAGACTTTTCCTCTTTTAAAAAAGGACCACTCAGGGCACTCAAAGGAAAAGTACACCTTACAATAAACACCAGAGAGGATTAATTTGAACAAAGGGAATGGAATTTTCCTTCAACAGTCAATGTCTTTTATAGCTTGGCATGCAGTATTATTTCTATAGAACTATATGGTTTTGGGCGTTTGAGCATAATTTTTGAATTTTTAATATATGATGTTGTACAGAAATGTCATGCCTGCCAAATTTATGTATGGCATGAAGCTAGGAAGGAGATTAAATGTTCAACAGAGATTTGAGATTATACAAATTTATACACACACACCCCCTCACACATACACACAAAATCAAACACTGACCAATTATAAATTGGGAAAATATGTATGACACTATGAGACAAAGAGTTAATACCTTTAATATACAGAGTTCTTATAAATCATTGAAAATTCAATGACTAGTAGGAAAATTAACTGAAGCTAAAAGGTATTAGAATCCAATATACGCAGGAATGTTTGCTCTCTCATAACTAAAGAAATGCAAATTTGACAGCTAGATTATAGAAGGTGAAACCAGAACCAATCAGTGGAAATGCTCAGGAAGGAGGTTTAGGCTCACTGAAAGTATAAACTTCTAAGAGAGTTTTGAAGAAAATATATCTGCTTGTAAGATCCAGCTGTATCGCCGTAACTGATAAAAATGAGCTCATTCTTTATGAAAATATCGACAAGAAGGTTTTATCCCAAAAACTAGAGTGTCAGACTTGACTAGCAGTTTCCAAATGGGCCCAGTGGCAAACCAAACACCAAACACACCCGAGTCTCTTATTTATGTGTAATCTATAGATATTTCCAGGCCACAGGTTTCTTTTTTTAATATTTGGGCAGACATCCACAGTTGTTGAGCAACTTACATGAGCACCACAATTGTCACTGCAATAAACACAGAGGCATGAAATAAGTGGCAACCTAATATTAAAGGATGCAAAGGTAGTTCAGAGAAGTTCTTTTCTTCAAAACTCAGAGAGGGAGTGTTGGAAGTAAAGAACAGAAGGATGGCATTTGAAAATACTTCAGAGGAGAAGTAATATTTGAGACAGCTACTGAAGGATGAGAGAGTTCTCTAGGTGTGAAAAAGGACTGTAGTCCAAGACAACAGTGGCAAAGATATCGAGACAGAAATTAAAGGCAGTTAAAGTTTGGTAATTATTCAACCATACTTATATTTGGCCCATCAGTTAGAACAATCTAGGCCTAATGCAGTCTTTTGTGTTTAAATAGTTTACTTTGGCTGTGTATAAGTAACTAATTTCTAAAACAACCAAATTGCCACTGCAGCCTACACTCAGTTTCCATTAGATTCAGCGACACTGGGAATAGATCAGCAGATCCCATGGTCATCAGGCTTGTATCATAAGATCTCTGTGTGGCTACAGAGCACAGACTTTATCTTATAGGTAATGGGGAACATAATGGGACAATATTTTCATTTTAGAAAGAAATCATTAGCAGAATGGTGGATAGATGGGGAATGTGCAATATTCAGTCTCACAGCCAAGTACGAGGCTACCACAAGAGCAGACCAGAGGGCTAAAGAGGTCTTCAACCCAGGCGGTAACAAGAGCAAGAGGAGAGAGGGCAGGTCAGAGGAGTGAGGGAGAGCTCTCTGACCTGCGATTCCCCTAAACAACTCCTCTGCAAAGATGTGTCACCCTCTGCTGTGTAGCCTTGGAAAATTAACTCCCTTGAACCTCACACTGATCATATGTGAATCTTCAATAAAGCCTTATGGAGCCATCAGGAGGAACAGAGATGAAAAATGAAAAGCCAGAGCTGAGTGACTAGCTCAAAACAGAGGCTTAATAAAAAAAGATGTTTACAAAATAGACAAGAAGAGATTCACATATATGATTACCTGCTTAGTGTTTTTAAACAAATATATAAATATGTCTTTTTAAGTCGATAATTTATTTCTGAAGCCCAGAAAGCACTTATTTAGCTTTTCTATTAATAGAGCTAAGGAAATCATTTCGAAGAATTTGTATCAAACACTCAAGTGTTGACTCAATTCAATTAACATGTAATGAACACGCCCTGATAGGGATGTTTGGCTTGTACTAGAAATCCTGGGACTTGCACAATCAACCTCCATTTATTAGCTCTGCAGATTATCTGAAGTAGACTGAACGGTTTCCATGGCATCAATATCACAGATCGGTCTTTAACCTTAGTTTCCTATCCTCTAGAAGAGGAAAAGCAGTTCAATGGTTTACTTCCCTGACACACACCCACATATCTTCCCAAACTTTCTAGCTACCATGTACCCTAACCTCAATCGCTCTATTATCTGAGCTTCCTCTAAATGACCAGCAGCTTCTTTCTGCTTCTTTGCTTTGCTAGTGATGTTCACTGTGCAGGAATAACTTTCATTCTCCTTTAAAACACCAGACCAAAACCTATTCTTTTTCCAGGTCTGCAACAAAACATATCTCCTTCAATGAAGTCTTTTTGAGTGTAAAACAGGATAATCTGATTCTCTCTTGTGGTTTATTACTATATTTTATTGAAGAAAATGTTAGCTTCTAAATGTGAGGTTTTTTAAAAATGCCAACCATTACATAATTGTTCATGTTTTAGTAGCTGGAAAATAAAATCCACAACCTCTCTAGACTGTGCTTTTCACTGCCTGGCACTTGAAGGCTACCTGTAAATGTTGGATGAATGAACAGATGAGTGAGATCACTCTTAATTTCTGTAGATATTTTAATATAACTGAAATATGAAAGGAAATCTCCCAGGGGATATGATAGCATGCCAGCAGAGTGGCAGCATCACGCAACCCTTCATATAGTTTTATAAAATTAAAATATATCAATAGAAAAAAATGTGATATTTTAAGATACAAATGGGTAGAGGATATAACATTTATATATATATATAAAGAAAACTGTTGTATAATAAAATGAGGATGGCAGAAATGCAAAATGATATATTAAAAAGGGTTAACTTCTTTGGGTCTTAGTTTCCGCACCTGTTAAATTGAGATTTAATATCCAATAATATCTAAATATACCTCAAAGCCTAAGGTTTTTGTTATAATTAAATTTTAAAATGTGTATCACCTGGGACATTGAAGATATTTCAAGTGTCCCCAAGGCAATGCTACTGATGACTGCACTCGGTAATGCTTCCTGCATTCTTTGTAATGTATGCATGAAGCACTACCTGAGAGCTGACGATGAAGGCAGAAGGGTGGGCCTGAACATCTATGAACCATTTTCTCTTCTACCATATGCACAATTCATTTAAATGAAACTATGCTTCTCTGTGCTTCATGGATTACTAAAACTGTTGCTTTAATCCTTTCTGATTAGTTCATCTTTCTAATCCATTGGGCAGAAAGGAGATATTTATTTATTCAAATCAATATTTGAACAGAAATATGAAATATTTTTTCTGTTTTTTTTGGGGGGTATGGGGTTAGGTGGGCTAGAAAGCTGGTATTTTGAGTTCTTCAGGTGATGGAAGGATTGAAAAATACAGTTTCTGATCTTTTGACTAGTTTGATTAAGTTGATCCTCTGCATTAGGACATTATTTGATGCCCCAATTCACTTTCTTTGTATAGATTTAGCAAGTAGATTGTTGAGTAAATAATAAAAAGAATTGGATGTTCTTGCTGGGTTTCTTCAGAATCCTTTGGATACCTCAAACAATACTGAAATCCCACATATCCTCAAACTACAAAGTTGGCTGCTAGTGATTAAATGCAGAATTTTCATGCTGTGAGTCTTGTCAAGAAGTTGTTTTAAAGACATCTAGTCAAAGGTACATATAACTTCTAATTAAAAATATTAAACAAAGCCTCAGAAAAATTTCCACTTCAGTAAAAAAGGAATTCAAACTTGATTTGCATCTGGAGTCTAAGCCAGAAGGTGACTATGTTCCCTGAAAGCCATCTCTCAAATAACAATGAGCCTATCAATCATCTGTTCCAGGAAACTTAAGAAAAACAGGACATAAGACATCTGGCTGGGGTGCACCATGCATGCTCTTTAGCATTCAGTGAGCACTACCTGTTATTTGCTTTTTAGTCTCCAAGTCTCTGGTCTGTTTCAGCACCTGGAGCAGCCGAGGTACCCCATTGAGTTCGGCTACCTCCAACTTGTTGTCATTGTCTTCAAATACCAAGTTTCTCAAGGCCCCACAGACGGCTCGCTGAACATCTTCATTCTGAACTTTTAGGAGCTGCAGAAGCTTGGGGATGCCGTGAAGCTGATTAACCTGAGGAAGAAGAAGGTGCATATTTCAGATGTTTATTAATTTTGATGTGGCATTAAAGATGTTAAATGTAATATGAATGAACAGATGAAGTTTACTAATGTTGGTTATAACTCCCATCAGTCAACAACTATGTGTTGTATAATCTGAGACTCACAGTGTACAACATACTCGGGCTATACAGTATCTCTTGTTGAGGAGCTTACAATAAATTTGGGAAGTTAAAACAAAAACCTATGAAAAAATTGAAAGGGAAACTTTAACAATAAAGGGTGGATAAGTGATAGCTAAGTGGGTAGAGAGTCAGTGATAAAAACCTTGAGCATAATAAAGACAGAGAGAACTGGGAATTAGAGTAAAGAAAGTTTTATGGAAGAATAACCACATTACATGAGCTTTTTTTCTGAACAGAACTTCAAAGTCAATTTAAACTGAACAGAAATTACCTTCAGCAATGGTAGAAATAAAAATTCATTTACCATGACAACCATAGTAGCAATGCAAACTAACCCTAAATGTAAGCCATTTTTATGATCGATCGCTTTGAGTATTTAAAAGGGTTTATATAAATTATTCAAACATTTTAAGTAACATAATATTACACTTGTTAACGTGCTATTTTAAAACTATTTCTTCTATCGAAATATGCAAGAGAGAGCATGATGTCTATTAGAAAAAGGGCCAGAACTAGGACTAAGAAGAACAATAGATGGTTTAGATTCTGAAATCTATGGCTATTTGAGAAGAGGCCAAGTAATAGTAATCTGAGCAAGGTGATTTTGTGTTTTAGGCTGCAAATATTACTTAAAGAAATCAAAAGTTGGCCAGAAGGTGGCTGAAGAGATATAAGAAGTTGCAGATTGAATGCTTTCTTTCTCAAGGCTTCACTTAGCATCTGATTAAAAAATTTTTAAGTTGGTAAGAACTTTGGTAAAAGATCTCATTTTCACCATCTTAACGCAGACATTCTAAGGAAATAAGCTGTGAATGGGCATGAGTTTCCCTTTCAGATAAAGTTCATCACTTATGAACAATGCCTAATTACTGCTGTGTACACTCAGTAATTACACTCAGAGGAGAGCTGCACACCTGGCCAGGGGCACATTTTCATATTTTCTATGTATCATCAAACTCTGGCCTCCTTTTAATAGACAAATAAATGGTATTTAAGACTCAGTCTTCCAAACTGACATCTTCCTTTGTTAGAATTGGGGAGGAGACTAGCAAAGCAGAAATGAAAGTCAAAGTTGTATAATAATCTAAATAATAAAAAATAACCACAATAATAAAAATAAAACAAAAATAACAACTCCTCCTCCCACTTCTATCATTAGGAAGTGTCGGCATAGTGTTAAGAGTTTTATGTGTATTATCTAATTAATAGCTTGCAAGAACCTTAAAAAGAAAGCACACTTTTGGTTCCTTTAAGGCTTCACTGGTGGTAATGAGTAATAAATACTTCACTTATTGGCTCCCTTCAGAGGAGACATTTGCAGAACAGGAGACAATTGGGAAACAGGCCACAGAAATTTTCATGAGCCACGTCTACAGTCATTTTAATATATTTGTATAGCAATGCTAATAATAAAGATTTTTTAACTATCAATTAAATCTGTCCAACAGACCATCTATTTGATCACTTCATCTATTCCCATTATTATATTTCTTTAAAAGCAGAAAGGCAAAATTTATTTAAAAGCCTGTAACTCATGTTCCCCTAATTCCATCAATTTCTATTTCATAGTTGGGTTTTAAGGTGGTTAAAAACACTCCATAAACTTCATAAATGCCAAACAGACTAAATTTTCACAGTAGCAACATAAACATTAGATGAAAAAAGAAAATCTTGTTTGTCCTAGAGGTATTTTGGTAGCTTTAGAAATATTATATTACTTAATTTATAATTTATAGGTTGCCTTCTTCAAAATATAATGTGAAGTGGCTTACCAGCCATACTGCATTTCCTGCTGTGATGACAGCATAGTGACAAGTGGCATGTGGAGGCCTCCATTGCTCTGACTGGGGAGTGTGGATGGCAGGCTTCTGTTTAACAGTCTTCTGACCTGTTCTCTTACCCTGCCACCTTTATCCCTCTGGCTTTCAGCACTTGCCCCAGCCCGGAAAGAAGGAACTACATTCACACCGTGCTCAGATAAATGCTGAAATCCGACTACCGCTACTTACTGTAGAACCTGACTCCCTAGTATCTGGCATCTACCCCACATTTAAAAATAGATTTTATTTCCTTTTATCCACTTTATCAAGCAAATGGATATAAATCATATCAAATGCATGAAGTGGATGACATTCTCATTGCATGTAACTAAGATATTAGTGATGAATCCTATACACTTTAGAGCCAATGTCACGTGTGCTATTCTTTCCCCTTTAAATTCAGGGAAGCAGCTGGAACCAGAGAGGTTACATATGCGTCCCAGTTATACTAAATCCTCAGGGGATTTGTTCTCCCTTTGGGGAAAGGGAAAAAAAAAAAAAACCAACATGAATGTTTCAGAACTTCAAAAGAGCTTTTATTTGAGACTGGTGTCTAAATATGTAAAGAGCAGAATCACATATTAGAATTTTAACTTTCTCTTTGACTCTATTCTGATCCTCTTCCCAGATTCCGGTGGCAAATAAGCAGAGGGAACAGGTTGATTCTGCTGGGGTAAAGGCTCCCTCATGCCCCGGTGCATTTTCTTGCACTTCCTTTCCTGTTGGGAATGCCCTACCCACTCTGCCTCTCTTCTGGCAAAGCTCTACTCATCCTGTATGAACCGGCTCAAATGTCACCTCCTCTGTGAAATGTCACTCTCTCTGTCTCTCATTAGAGTTAATCACTTCCTGTAAATTGGGATAACCTTTCAGGAAGTCAATTGGCAATTTGTGTCAAAAACTAAAGATATTCACTTCTATAAACCTTCAAATTATTAGGAAATAATTTGAAATGCACACATGGACTAACACAGGATAATAGTAACTATATTATTTATAATAGTAAAAAATGAGAACCATAACTGTCCAACAATGGGGGAAGACTGGGTAACGATTGTTACATATCCACATGCTGAGGTTTCCTTGTGAGGGGCAGAACAATGTTTGAACTGACAAATATTTTATTTGTCATTACAGTTCCCTCATCAGTCAAATGGGGATTGTGTAAGATTAGCAATTGTGCACTAGGCACAAGTCATTCAATACATGGTTGCTACTACTATGCTACCATAAAATATTTACAAACTATTAATATTATGAGAAAATGCTTATGATATAATGTTATTGATTAAAAGGTGACTAAAATATCTATGCATTTCCATCCATAAACACATACATAAAAAAAGGAATGAGATTAAGGGGTTTGGGAGAAATGGTGGGGGTATAAATTATGAACGGGGCTTGCTACTTTGTATTTTTTTTAAAAAATCAAATATTTGTGCATGCTTTTAAAATCAAAACAAGAAAATCCTACAAATAAAACTACCTATTCAGTTTGATTCCAGTTATGTACATATATGCATTAAAAAAAATCAGAGAACAAAACTAAAATGATAACAATAGTTGGACTGTGGGTATATATTTTTCTTTGTTCTTAATTTCTCAAATTTCTTATTAATGAATTTGTATTAGGTTTATAATAAGATTTTACAAGACAGTTATGGCAGTCACTGTTTTGGTGATACGATCTGAAGCAGGCATAAAAATAAAACCAGTTTAAGAGAGCTTTGCAGATTAGATTAAGGAATTTGTCTTTTATCCTGCAGGCAAGCAGGGAAGCCTTTGGAAGGTCTCCCAGGGTGCTGTGAGGAGTGGATGAGAACAGAAGAAGGGAGATCAATTAGGAGGTGGCTGGATTAACAGAGATGATGGTGACAGGGATCAGCTGTCACACTACCCGGGTGAGCTAACACTCACTTACATAGGAAATAATATTCTTTGAGTTATTATTTCCAGGCAGGCCTTGTACAATTATCCGACTGCATTCTCACAACAACTCTGCAGTAGGACTGTTATTTTAACTTTAAAGATAGGAAAGCTGAGTCTTAGGTAAAATATCTTGCTTGAGGTCACCACCCACATAATTAGGGTGCTGGGACTCAAACCCATCACTGAGTGACTCCTGATGTCAATGCTCAACCAACCAAGTGTCTCACCTCCCAAGAAGGCAGGAAGAACAAGTTTAGAAGGAGGGTTGGATAGTGGAAAAGGAAAACAAAAGAAGATAACATGTTCATTTTTGACAGTGATGATAAGTTTGGTGGAAAGTCTAGGAAATAGCTGGAAATGTGGTTTGGAACACAAGAAAGAGATATAGGCTGGAGATGCTATGAGTCATCAGCATCTAGATCCTACATTAATGGAAGCCACAGAAGTAGATGAGGCAGGTCAGGAGATGGTGTTGAATAAGAAAAATTCCAGGAGAGCATCTAAAAAACACTTAAGGGATAGGTCGAGGATAAGTTTTTCACAGAGGAAACTTGAAGGAGACAGAAAGATGGAAGAAGAAGCAGGAGACTCAGGACCAAAAGAAAGTTTCAAAAAGGACAGAGGGATTGATGGGTATGAAATGCTGAGAGTCCCAATCACATAAAATAAGAATAGAAAATTTGCCACTGGTTTTAAAAGTTATGACTTAAAATTTTGACCTTTATGTCCAAATCATAATTGTGTTTTATACATAAATTAAAAACCATGGCACCTTGCTTAATATTAGAGGAATTTTGTTAATGTTTCTGGATTATAACATCATAATTCTTAGATTTTCTACAAAGCATGTTTTTAGTTTTCAACAGTTTTCATGTTTCATTATTGTCAAAAGCAGTCTTTGTTCTAGTTTTATCACTGAGTAAGTTAGAAGGCAAGCAGAGCTTCAATTCTAAAATGATATTTGTAATCAAATTAGTAATTTAAGAGAGAACGGAAATTGAACGGAAATTGAGCCCAACTTGGGTAACGAAAGAAAAATCCAAGTAATTCCATATTATAAAATGAAAGCATGCATAATA